ATGATTAAAAAATAATAATTTAGATGTGAAAAACACTACCATTGAAATCTACTTGATTACTTTATATCCATGGTCAGATGCCAAGGAGCTCAGAAAGTAACCAACTGTGACTAGTAATAATCAGATATAGAGATTAGAAATGCATGTGCATAGTGTCAATTGTATTAAAAATGAATTTTTATGTATGAAACTGTATTTTAATAATGAAGTGGAGATATTTTTTAAAGTTTAAAACCTCATGTTTATGTCTTATAGGGTTTATACAGAGCACAATATTGTATAACTGTATTAATTCAACTGTAAACCTAAAAATTTACTGCCAATTTTGAAAGAGATGCATCTTAGCTCTGAAAATTGTTATTGAATATGTCAACGCAGTTGTAACGAAATGCTTCTTCTAATTATATGGTTATTAAATAATTTTTAAAAAACTAAAAATAATATGGCATATTTACAAAACTTTAAAAAAGTACATAACTCCAGCACCAGCAGGGACATAGGGAAAAACCATCACATACATTATCAGTAGAAACAAAATCTTTGAGTTCTTTTTAGAGACAAATTAGCAGTATTATTAATGCAACAATCTTTTTAACTTTTAATTTTTTTAATTGAATGTTTGTGCATTTCATACAATGCATCTTAAGGGTAAGAAGCCCCAACCTTAGCCGAGGAATTATTGGCAGCTGATCACTGTTGGGTGAGGGAGGAGTGGTCTTCTTCAAGGGAGTGATTGCTATATAGGCTGACTAGGCTCCTCCAGGAGATGAACTCACTCTGAGAGACATCTAGGACACAAACTTGACTCAACAGGCCTTAACATATATAACAGAATGCATGAAATCCAGCAGGCATTGGTGAGTAGAAATAGAGGAAGGGGGTCTAAATATGATTAAGATGTATTGCGTGAAATGCAATAAATTTTTAAAATATTTATTATAATAAACTAGGTACTATCTGAAGGGCTTGGCACAGAGCAATTTTCATTACGTAAAAAAAATAAGTAACACAGACAAAAGTGTATACTTTATATCCTAATGGGAGAGGTTGACAAAATAAATAAAAGTAGTAAATTTAACAACCGTGTCCACACATCTTCTAGTTATAGCTAACTCCTCTACACCTTAGACATCATGCAACTTATCTAGTGACATGGCTGTATCTTCCTTGAAAATAAGAATTACATCACATCCAATGTTGTAAAATACTAATGTCTAGAAAAAGAACTCCATGTCCCTTAAAATGTAAGGACTACTTTAATACACTGAAATCCCCATATGCACCTTAAACAGTAGTATTTAATTAAACTGACATCTGAATCTAGTATATTCTAAACATACTTTTATTTCTTCATTCATTTATTCACTCATGTATAATTTCAAATATCAGCAAAAGTACCTACGCCATGTACTCCATGCTAAGCTTTGTGGACGGCGAGGTGCATGGCAACCTCTGCAGATCCTACCCCATGTTCCTCCTTGGCCAAGCTGGACATAGAAGCTGTGACTATGGCACCCAACAAAATGGAGTGGTTAATACAGTAACAACATCAGTGATGAGACTTCTGTGTGCATAATCATTCATATAAAGAAAAGTTAACCCAGGATAAACCTGGGCAGTAATACACAGAAAGCACTGACTTTTCATAAATCGGCATCTGTCAGGATCTGCTCACCTGTGTCTCATACTTCACAATATAAAAGTTGTAAACCCAAGTTTATCTAGGTCATTGACATCAGGTCATGGACTACCCTTCAGTTTTTTCCTTGATGACCTCTTTTTAAAAAGTGGGAACAGAAAAACTCCTTTTTTTTTTTTTTTTTTTTTTTTTGGTGTTTTTGAGACAGGGTTTCCCTGTAGCCCCCAGCTGTCCTGGAACTCACTATGTAATCAGGCTGGCCTCGAACTCACAGAGCTCCACCTGCCTCTGCCTCCTTTTAATGCAACTAACACTTAGGTGTTTGCACATGTGTCTCTAATCTCTACATATCTGATTATTACTAGTCGCAGTCGGTTACTTTCTGAGATCTTTGATCTTTTTCTGTATGAAACAGTGTATTTTGAAATGAAATGGAGATCTTTCTTAAAGGTTAAAACTTCATTTATGTCTTAGAGGGTTTATATTGAGTACAATATTGCATAACTGTATTAATTCAACTGTGAACCTAAAATTTACAGCCAATTTTGAAGATGCAGCTCAGCTCTGGAAATTGTTAATGAATATGTCAATGTTGTTGTAATGAAATGCTTCTTATAATTATGTGGTTATTAAATAATTTTTTTTAAATGGGAACAGATGTACTGTCCCCACTCATCGGCAGAAGGACCCTGATGTGTGAAAACTCTTTTGGTTTATTTGAATTCTCACAAGTTTAAGGGTAAGAAAAGACACAGCAGCGGGAAGCAGTGAAGGCAAAGCAAACATTCACATGACCCACTAACAGGAGACACTTTCCTAAGAAAACGAGG